CACACACACACACACACACACTCATGCTCTCATCCCCCTGTTGTCTGTGTCCATTGGTTTGGCTTATATGTATGCATACAAGTCCAAGGATTATCTCTCTTTTAAAAATATTCATCTTTATTGTTGAAAGTGATCAAGATGGATTAGTGGGGGAAAGGAGGAATTTTCTCTTTTAATAAGCATTTCAACTAGTACTAAGGCTATGAACAAAATGGAGAAGGTATTTAAAAAGATTTAAGGATGATCATTTCAAAACTAATTTCATGTGATATTTGTTAGGAAACTGGGAGAAGAAACCATGCATTTCAAAGTTAAGATATCAGAAAGCCTTCAAAAAGCTCATCTGTGATTCACTAAGAAGATCACTTTGTACTGGGCACATTTCCTTCCCATTGCTGACTCTAAAGGATTTTTGAGGGGGTGGAGGTTGAGCCAGTGGCTCAAGCATTTAGTTGTGTTGTTAGGTGAGACTGAGAGCTGAGGGGAGCCTCCTTTCTCCAAGGTATGGTACTAGACATATTTGTCATTGAGATATGCCAACTCTGATTTGAGTTTATTGAGAGTGTTGGTTTTGGTAGACAAACATTTGAATTCTCTATCCAAATTTACTATCTGGAGATGCTCCTCGTTTGCTTTTGGGTTGTTTTCTTCTCTTTCTTTCTCTCTCTTTTGAAATTATTTAGACTTACAGAAAAGTGGCAAAAATAGTACATACAGTTCCATCTACACGTTGCTCAGCTTCCCCTAATGTTACATAACCAAAGCATAATGATCAGAACCAAGAAATTGCTATTAATACGATACCATTAACCAATCTATACACTTTATTTGAAATACATATTCTCCCCACCAATGTCCTTTTTAAAATCCAGGATCCAGGCTGGGATTCATTGCATTTCGTTGTTATGTCTGTCTCCCAGTCTCCTTCAATCTGTGACAGCTTCTCCGTCTTCCCTTGTTCGTCATGACCTTGATACTTCTAAAGAGTACTGGCTAGTTATTTTGTAAAATGCCCCTCAATTTGGATTGGTCTGATGTTTTCTCATGATTAGGTGGAGGTTATTTATTTTTAGCAGGCATGACACAGAAAAACATTGTGCCCTTGACAGCCTATCATATCAGGGGTGCATGATATAAATGTTTCTTATTACTAGTGCTGCCAACTTTGATCATATGGTTAAGGTGGTACTTGCCAGGTTTCTCTACTGTAAAATTGTTTTTTTGTCTTTGTAATTAATAATTTGTTGGGAGATCATGTTGAGACCAGGCAAATACCTTGTTTCTCATTATACTGCCATCTACTAATTTTAATATCCATTGTTGATACTTGCCTGTAGTCATTATTAATTTGTTGTTTGCCTAATGGAGATTTTTCTATATCTATCCTTCCTTCTATGTTTATTAATTGTAATTTTACTCTAACGAGGAGCTGGCCCTTCTTTATCTGTTTGTTTATCCTATTATTTATTTATATCACTATGGACTCACAGATATTCATTTTATTCCATTGGTGAGCATACATTATTGCCATCATTCTTTTTTTTGTTGTTGTTCATATTGTCCAGATTTGGCCATTCAGAGATCCTTCAAGTTGGCTTCTGAGTCTCTTTGACATATACCACAAGATAGTCTTGGCTCATCTTTTCTAGTCTTTGTCCCAGCCTTTGAATCAACTATTTCTCCAAGGAGTCCTGTTTCCTTTATTGGATAATGACATTTAGAAACCAAGATCATGGTGCCAGGTGTTCTCATTGCTTGTGGGGGTATCTTTGCTTGTAGATTCTTCCCATAGACAGAAGTAGGCAATAGATGTATATAGACTCATATATGTATATACACATTTATTTCTATGTATACCTCTGTGTGGGTATATTAAAATCTATGTATAAATAATGATGTCTAAAATTCTAATTAAACACCATAGGCATTTCTTAAGGGAGTTCTTATAATCATTAAAAAAAACATTGGAGACAGACTTTTTTGTTGGCATAGAAACAATCTAACATTAAAACCCTCCTCGTTCTTAACATTTTAATCTCCAACATTTTTGATGGGTTTCTGATTGACAGATCTTCTCTATCTAGGCTATATCTCTAGCAGATATTACAAGTAGATTTCTCAAAACAAAAATTATTCCACAGTGATTTCATAGGGCTATCCAGCACACCCTAATGGTTACTCATGCTTTTCTAATTCTTAGCTTTAATAAGAATGCCCTGTATTAGGATTGCAAGTGACAGCCTCTTATAAGTGGTCCAGATTTTCCTTTATACTGAGATCATTAGTGTGACCCATGTTCACCTGGGACTCAAACTAGAGCTTACTGGGTAGGTTATCATTTTTAAAAAATATATTTTTATTGATTTCAGAAAGGAAGGGAGAGGGAGAGAGAGATAGAAACATCAATGATGAGAGAGAATCACTGATTGGCTGCCGCCTGCATGTCCCCTACTGGGAATCGAGCCCACAACCCCGGGCATGTGCCCTTGACTGGAACCTAACCTGGGACCCTTCAGTCCCCAGGCCGACACTCTATCCACTGAGCCAAACCAGCGAGGGCAGATAGGTTATTTTTTTAGTCCTCCCAGAAGAGTATGTAAATGTGTTGAGAATATCTCAGTTCATCAGAACTCTGAGCATGAAACGATATGAGCTTTCTAACAATCACAGCAATATCTAGTGACTTTCAAATATTTGAGCTACAAAGTATATAAGAGGACATGGCATACAAAAGCTCTATCTATAGACAGTGGTGGCTGGGGGTATAAAATAAGTACTTGCATGTGAGGCAGGGAACTGCCTCAAGTACCGCTTATAACTCACAATTCAGCTGATTTTTACCTGGAACATACCTGTGTCTCAAAGGTCTGGTTCTACCCTTTGGGCAGAGCTGAAGAAGCACTATAGTTGTCCCAGAACACATGTATTGGTGACCACTTCTAGGATTGCTAGCGTCAGCATGGTCCAGTATAGGATGTCAGCGGATGGCTTTGTGTAGATCCGAGTAAAGTAGCATGACTAAAGTAAAGTTGATTTTTATGTTTGTTGAATAGTCATTATGTACCTGTCGAGTGCCAGACACTGTGCTTGGGAGGTGATGGTTTGAAAAGAGAAGGGGAGGTTTAAGGGAGGCTTCAGGAGGAAGATCTTTTAATTCAGAAGCGAACTGACTGGAGCTAACACTGAGGGCTTTAATTCTAGAAAGAATAAAGTTATAACGTCCAGCAATGACATGGAAAAAGGAAAGGGCAATTTTTGAGACATGGAATTCAGAAAAGGGGCAAGTGAGGATAATGCAGATTTCTAGCCTGAGAAGGTGGTAGTGCTGTTTTCAAATATAAAGTGGTCGGAAGCTACTGGCGAGAGCTATTGCTTAATAAATAAAATAGAATCAAACGTTACTTTTCCAATAAGCTTTCCTTGATTAATACCTCCACATGATAGAGTGTAGAATTCCTTGCCCATTCATCCTCTAAGAACTTATCACCACACTTTATGTTACTTGCTATCACCTTGCTTTGCAAACCCATGCCATTTTTAGCTTGTAATTGTTTATTCTGTCCCTGCATCACATGGACTTACTACTGTCTCCTAACACAGAGAGAACCTCGCACCTTGCTGTGGACACTGTAGTTGAATGAACACTTGTGACTTGAGTGTTGAATAAAGACTGGAACCAGTCATTAGTTTATACTATTAAAAACCAGTAGTGAGACCCAGAGGTGAATCATAGCTAAAAATCTGTTTTTCTTATTCAGTAATGCAGAGTTTTACCCGAGGTTGATTACAAAACCAATCTTTTGAAATGTCACCACAGTAAAATCTTTGACAGATACAACACAGCTAGGTATATCATTAAAATATATTCTGAGCAGAATAAAAGCCTAGAATCAGAACACGGGTTGAAAACACAGAAGCTCTATGGAGGCAGTAAATTAAGAGCTAGTCACATTTTAAATTTGCCATCGGTATTTCTTTGTTGAAGTTCAGGAGTTAGGACAAATTGAGCTGGTGTAAGTTAGCACCATGGTTTTATACAAGATTCTGGCAGACTAGGATTTTTAAGTGAGGAGAGCTTTTCGACCAGAAATGTAAATATCCATTTTTGCCCTAAAAATGCTTCCACCATCTTACAAAGACCCACGTGTCCCAGGGATGAAGATGTGTTGAAATTCGGAACTTCTCATTCCCTTTTCTCTATTTCTTTACCAGGTGGGAGCTTTATGGTGAACTTAGATGGGGTTTTATCATTGACCAGTCAGATAGCTGTGTTTGAACTTGTTTTGATCACATAGAGATGTTAAACCATGGTAATGGACTCGTGCTTCTTGCTACAAAATAGGTAGCAATTGTATTTTTAACAACTTCCGGTAAACACAGGGGTTTTGTCTTGTACATCAAAGGTGTTACAAAGGCATTCTTTTAGAACAGTATTCATTCCTGATGGTTAGGCAGTCCATGTTCCAGGCCGGCCTTGACGTCGGCTGCTTGTGGCTTAGGTCACCCCTTGGTTTGGGTGGACACGCTTTGTTTTTCAGAGCAAGTTGGAGAGTGGCTTAGTTTTGTGGTTTGCTCATCTAGTAGAGAAACGAAGTTGCACTGTGGGGAGTCTTGTCTTGGTATGAAAACCTTGTCTGATTCTATTGCTTCGTGCTTAGATGGGAGCTCCTAGGGAGTATCTCATCTGCTGAGTTGGACTGTGGGGCAGGAGGTCATTTTAACATTGAATGTTCTCTGAGATCTTGATGGTGTGAGATGGCCCTTCCGGGCCTCGAGTTCCCCATCAGTTCTAGCAGTTGAACTCCTAGAATGTGACCCTGTGAACCCTTCAGGGGTACTCAGGGAGTGAATAACAAGGTCGTACCTGTCAGTAGGAGAATTCCACATCCGAGCCATGAAACCCTTCTCTGTGTCTTCCCGAATCTGCCTCCTGTGCCTGTCAGCATGTGGCCTCCTGGTGTTCTTTGCCTCTGATAGCTGTTTCTCTCCCCCTCCTGCAGACATGCCTTGAATTGGAACGCTACCTGCAGACGGAGCCCAGGAGGATCTCGGAGACCTTTGGTGAGGACTTGGACTGTTTCCTGCGGGCTTCTCCTCCCCCGTGCATCGAGGAGAGCTTCCGGCGCTTAGACCCCCTGCTGCTCCCTGTGGAAGCGGCCATCTGCGAGAAGAGCTCGGCCGTGGACATTTTGCTCTCTCGGGACAAGTTGCTCTCGGAGACCTGCCTCAGTCTCCAGCCAACCAGCTCTTCTCTGGACAGCTACACAGCCGTCAACCAGGCCCAGCTCAACGCAGTGACCTCATTAACGCCCCCATCGTCCCCTGAGCTCAGCCGCCATCTGGTCAAAACCTCACAGACTCTCTCAGCCGTGGATGGCACAGTGACGTTGAAACTGGTGGCCAAGAAGGCTGCGCTCAGCTCGGTCAAGGTGGGCGGGGTGGCGACGGCGGCGGCAGCGGTGGCGGCAGCTGGGACAGTTAAGAGTGGACAGAGCGACAGTGAACAAGGAGGGGTCGGGGCCGAGGCATGCCCCGAAAACAAGAAGAGGGTTCACCGCTGTCAGTTTAACGGGTGCCGGAAAGTTTATACAAAAAGCTCCCACTTAAAGGCCCACCAGAGGACTCACACAGGTAGTGGTACAAGTCGGCCGCACGTGGCTTCTTCTTTTTCCTCCCTTAGCCTCCTGGTGGGAAGGGCTTCTCTCTGTTCATCCCTGCCAACTAGGAGGTGATAGAGAGGCAGGAGGGCCTGGGTGGGGAGGCACATGACTCACTTGTTGCCTTAAGATGTGCGGTTGCCCTGAGCACAGCACACGGGTGTGTCCCTCGCGGGCTGTGAGATCCATTCAGAGGCTGTGCCCCCCCCTGAAGCATAGGATCAAACAGTTCCCAGGATGCCGGAGCGGGGCCCTGCCCTCGTAGTGACTCACAGCCCTCCGTGACACATGCGCTTGTCACTCTCTGACACTTTTCATTGTTTTGTGAGTGTAGTTCTGCCGTTCGATCAACCCCGGAATCCGAGGCGGTACAGTCGAAAGAATTCACAGTTAAACAAGGGAGCTGGGGTGTCCCCCTTCCCTCTTTGCCCAGCATCCCTGATTTTTCATCAAAGTCACCAACAGCAGGAGGGTTTCAGAGTTCATTAGATGCGATCATTCTATAATTAATTGGCATCTCCTCTTTTGCATTGTTCTCTGGCGCATGCTTTATGGAGAGATGGCGGAATGGCTTTTTAATGAGCTTGTTACCGAGGAGTTGCTGAAGTGATTACATTGCTATGTGTGTGGTGGGGGCGGGCGGGGACAGACGGGGACTCTGTATTTTCCCCAGGACTTGGGTAGTGACTCCCAGGAATCAGATTGATCTTTGGAGCAAATGGGATAATTTGGAAGAGTGGGATTTACCGAGAAAAGGCTGACATTGGCGCTTCCCTTGGAACTGGTCTTTGTTCTCTGCTTTGAGATGGAAGCGTGGGGCTGGGGTCTGTTCTTGGTGTTAGCATCCTCGGAGCAATTACTGTCGGTGGTGGGTTTTAAATGAGTCCGTGGCAGTGTATTTGCCTGTATGGTCTTTGGCTGCTGTTTGCACAGTATAAGCTGAATAGGGAGCCCTCCAAACGTCTAAGCAACAGGATAAGTATTGTTGGAGAGAAGTGAGTGATACATCTAAGTTAGGAGGTGTCTGGCGAGAGTTCTTTCGGGGCTCACCGCTTGTCTTTCTGGTGCTCTGGTGGCTTGTGGGCTGTGCCACCAAGGGGATGTGCAGTGCACAGTTCATTGGCTGGAAAAGCAGAAAACCTGGGTTCTAGTTTTAACTCTGCCACTTACTCGCTCAGTGACCTTGAATGTGTCCCTTTGCCTCATGGGCCTCATTGTCCACATCTGTCATATAATCTGACTCTTAAAGCCCCTGTCAGCTCTACTGTTCTGGGGCCTGTGGAATGCCTTTGTTCAGTACAGAGGAACTTTCCTGAATAGAGATGTATAATGTGACTAGAAGACATCACTGTTTTGAACCACGGAATTACAGTATTCCCATGGGAGGGTGAGGGCTGACATTGCTTCCTCTGAGCACTGGACTTAGGCATGCACTCCTCCAATTCTGTACTCAATTCCCCGTGGCTCTTGCTCGGTTCATGGGAAGGTCTCCTAACATCACTTCTGCGTCCTGGGGCTCAGGTGTGGAGTCCCACTCACAGTTTCCCATCAGAGTTTGGGTTCACATTCTCCACTCCACATACACCAAGGCTAAGGCTTCCTGTTGTCAGCATTATTTCTCCCTGATGTTGTCCTGAAGGTCGTTTCTTTCTCAAGTCAATGAGTAAAGCAACGACAAGCCATTGCAGTGTTCCAGACTTCAGTCGTGACTCATCTCCCTCTCCCCACAGGAAACTAGAGAAAGCAGGATGAGGTGAGAATGTCCAGTTTTGTTTGGGTTGTGGAACGCATGCTGGTGGACACATTTCTGAATTGTGGACAGTAAGACAGGCTACATCCTGCCTTGTGTGGTGGCTGGACAGCTCTGGGGAAGCAGAGATTCCTTTTGGGGGGGAGCCCAGAGCATATTTTTCTTTTTTTAACACCTTCTTCCCAAAAGATGTGTCAGAAGGACAACTCTTTGGAGTGTTGTGTTATTTGGTGCTTTGTTTGGGGGGCATTGTATATTCGGTGATCATCAAGGTGGAGCTCATGTGTTCCCCAGCACCTATGCCTACTTACATGGGTGGACTCCTCCACGTCGGGAAGTCACCCAGGGAGGCACCACGCATTATTGGAAAGGCAGCGGTGCAGAATGGTTGAGAGCAGGGCTTTGTAGGCAGGTGGACTTGGCTTTGAGCTCTAGCTCTACCACTTCCTGGATTTATGACCTGGATAAGTTATTTATCTTCACTGAGTCTCATCTTCTTTATCTGGAAGATGGGGACAGCTGTGTTCACCTCCTAGATTGCTTTGAGGATTAAGTGAGAAACTATATGCAAAATACTTGTAAAAGCTTATTAAAAGACTAGAGGCATGATGCAGGAAATTCGTGCAAGAGTAGGCCTGCACAGCCCAGGCTGCCTCAGCCCTCGCAGCTCGGCTTCGTCCGGACAGGACAGTCATCCGGACGGTCGTTCTGCTGTTCAGTGTTCGGTTGATTTGCATATTATGCTTTTATTATTATAGATAGCATATGGTTAGTTGTAGATGTTACTACTGCTGTTGATGTTGATTAGTGATGATTGCATGAAAATAAAGCCCCACAACTTTAAGTCACTTAGCCAAAGTAAAATATAGGCAAAGAGCAAGAAGCTTTTCTGTCCTCACTCCCGCACTTTCCGTGTGGGGCTGATGATGTTCATAGACACTGGTGGTGGAGGGTGAGACTGGACATGCAAGCATTGGCCATTGACGTTGTCACTAATGTGACCAGGGCTTTTCTAAGACAACACAGGAAGCGATTGTGTGGCATCCTCAAAGCCAAGCATGGGGGGAAAAGTAGCTGCTGTAAGAAAGAGAAACAGACAGGAGAGAGGCAGAGGTGGGGATGAGGGATGGGGAGAGGGAATATGAATTAATTTGGATTAAGTGGATGAGAATCAGAAGTATTTATTTGGAATTGGTGTGAATGGGGCACATGGGGAACTGCAAACAAAGGTGATAATTTATGTGGTGAGGATGAACTAAGAATAATGGAGAAAGCATGAAGGATGGAATCAAATTAAGTGCAAGCATATCAAGGAAATGGACTAGTAAAAGCTCGAGGGCAAAGGTATATGGTGATGGGAATTCAGGAAGAGTCTGCTGATATGAGTGAGTGGGCTGGGGAGAGCGGCTGACCTAAGGTTGAAATACAGTTTAAAAAAATGGGTTCTGGTTGGATTCAGGCAAGTTGTTTTAACACAGGGCTCACTTTAACTCAGTGGAAAGATTTCCTTATCTTTCAGCTGGGGAAGTGTTTTGGGACAGAAAAAAATGAGAAAACTATTCAAGAGAAATAGGGGAAATATTGGCATTTTGTTCTCTAGAGTGTGTGTGTGTGTGTGTGTGTGTGTGTGTGTGTGTGTTGGTGAGATGTATTGCTAGATGTTATCATTCATGTCAGCTACTCAGAGACAAATAAAGGAAAACAGAACCAGTTGGTACCTGAAAAAGCGTGGGCTGCTCACAGATGTGTAAAAAAAATCATGCATACAATAAAATGTTAATAAATGTAATTATTCCACTGTCTTCCCTTGTAAATTCTTTCCTTAGGGAACTATGAAAAAGCCAGATGCTTATCTGGGAAATGTCCCAGAATTATTCTTTTGAAAAATATTAACACTCCATTAGAAAAAGCCTTGCCCTGAATTATACTGAAACCTAGATGACTATAAATATTTAGATTCAGCAACATGTTGGAGCAAAATTTGCATTGTATATTTTACATATTCATATATTGAAAAGGAGACAGTTGCAAAAATGAAATAAAATAATGTGTAGGTCTCTGTCTATGCATAAGAAAGACAATACTCTGTTAGTAAGCTGGGATTGCTTGCATTGAGGAATTTTAAAAGTGTTATTCATTTAATCTTTATATAGCTAGAATTTAGAATTTACTGAGCTGGAAAAGAAAGGTATGCTCCCCCTCCACCCCAAACCCTTTGGTTGGTTTTTGAGGATGCTGAATCCTTTAAACTTTTTGCCCTGGAGGATGTTAGGCAATGAGGTGATTTTTTTTTTTCCCCAGGTAGCAGATGTTCAAGTTGGTAGCTTGGGCACAAATGCTGATTACCTAAGGAGGTGAAGTTATGGATGGGGGACTCAGGGGTGGCAGGGTGTGTGTGTGGGGGGGAGAAGATGAGACAGAGCCTGGGACAAAGGGAATATTGTGAAGTAGCAGAATCTCAGTGAAAGGAAGCACATAAAAATGGACATATGGTTTATTCATTGGGAAGAGCACTTAGTGCTGGCATGAGTATAAATGTCCTTTAGCAGCCAAGCCATTCAGACCTTTCTCTCCCACTCTGTTTGCTGGTCTTTGTATAATGTATTTTTCCTTCTCAGTAATTCAACCATTATGATCATAATTTTATCCATCTTCTTGGAGTCAGCTAAGTAATCCTAATATTTTGATGCAGGAGAAATCTTTACTTTCAGTTTCCCCAAAATCACCATTTTGCTCATTTTTAGCAAAAATCAATTTGTTAAACTGTTAATAGATTCTATGCAAAAAGAAAAATAATTATTTTTTACATTTCTTCCTGATCACATCTGAGATGGGAAAAAAAAGGATCTGATTGAAATGATGCTTTGTGTTCAATGAGCAGACTTTCCTGGTATGAGATTCATATGAAAACTTGTTCACATTTACACCAGTAAGAATGAATCCTGTTGGTAGTTAGGACAAAGGCCAGCAATGAAATCTTTGGTTGTTGGTCACAGAGGAGGGAGAAAAGAAGCCACATTCTCACATGTGCTATTTGGAGGGTCCTCTGTAGGGACTGGGCTTGCTTTAGTCTAATATATGGGTGGTGATGAGCACATTCTAGATTTTGCAATGGAGGGCGTAAAGGGATGTTTTCAGGTGGAAAGGTAATAGAAGTGTGCAATTAGCATTTTATATCTGCTTTGGGGCAGGTCATAATGAATTAAGATGTGGTACAATCTCTA